AAAAATTGTAGAATAACGTGTGATAGGGCAATATACATGTACAGTTACTTGTTAACTTGTGGGATTAAAAAAAAGCAGGTTACTGAAGATTATATAAGCTATGTAAAACACATAATTTCTAAACAATTTTAGGTATGATGAATATACAACTGTACATATTTAAAGTATAAACATTGATAGAATTGGAATATGTCTATACATTTGAAATCATTACCACACTCAAAGTAATGAGTATCTGTATCATCCTCAAAAGTTGTAATGAGTTTGTCCTTCTCCCTCCATCTCTGAGCAACTACTGAACTATCTTCATTTCTAAGATTTTATATAAATGAACTCATACAGTGTGCACTCTTTTTGATTGGTTTCCTTAACTCAGCATAATGATTTTTGAGATCTGCCTGTATGTTGCATGTGTCAGCAAGTATCAAAGCTATTCCATTAAGGAGCCTTACTATCTTTCCATTCATTCAAATAATACTGAACACTGTTAGGGGCTACTTGGCCAATTTTCCTCACATTCACTGGCATCCATCCTCTATACACCAAGGTCCTAATTAATATGTTCTGATTCCCTTTGATCTATATATTTCTTGGAGCATGTAACCAGTGCCAAGAGAGTTGTTGGGTCAAACTAGAGTTACTCAGTCATGCTGCAACCTGAGCAAAATTCACCCCCACAGATTCATATGAAGGAAACTTCACCCTTAGTATGACTTTGTCTAGAGATAGGATCACTGGGAAATAGTTTGCTTTTTTAAAAAAGTTGTAAGACTTGTAACCAAAAGTTCCCAGAAAAACTGCATCTTGAAACTGAACATTCTACAAAGGCTGATCAACTGATTAGAATTTCCATGACTGTGGAGAGTTTGGAATGTTGCAGGTCCAGAGACTAATTACCATTTTATCTTGGACTATCTTTAGCCTCCTAAATAGCCACTCCATGTCCACCTTTGTTCCTGACTTAAAATCCCATGACTAGGGGCTGGAGAGGTGGCTCAGCAGATAGGAACACTGGCTGTTCTTGCAGAAGACCTGGGTTCGAATTCTAGCACCCACATGGCAGCTAACAACTGTGTAACTCCAGTTCCAGGGGATCTGAGGGCCTCTTCTGTCCTCTGCCAGCATTGCATGACATGGGTGCACTTACCTACATGCAGGCAATACACACAAATACATAAAAAATAATAAATAAAATTTGAAAACATCCTGTGACTAACAGATTAAAACCTTATAGCTTTCCTTTGTTCTGTTACTATAAAAACTTCATAAAACTGTTACCACGTTGTAACATGGAATTTGGGATAACCTCCTGAATCCATGTTCCTGGGCCACGATCACTCATATTTGGCTCTGGAGTACACTCTTATCCCCTTTGAAGTGAGAGTTACGCTTTTGCATCGATAGAGTACAGCCTAATGTAATGGAACTGTGGCCTTTTACGAAGAAGAAGTGGGGCTTCTCTCTATTACCATTTGAGGTCACTGAACTGGACCACACTTCAACCTCCAGAGAGAATCCAGACAATAAATTCTGTCTCTGGAAGGCCAGGTCTGCGATATTTTGTTCTGCAGCCCAAGCTGACTAAGACTGTCCTCCCCTCAGCAGAGAAGTATGGCGAGGGCTGAATTCAGCTGTTTCATAGATGCTAAGGTGAGCAGAAAGGGGGGCTTCACAGCCAGGTTACTCCTCCTGAGGCCCGGACTCATTAGCTCGCCCAGTTTCTTACAGAAAGAACTTTGGGTCTACTTGTTCTGACATTCTTTCCCCCCAAGAGCAACCCAGCAGACAGACCTCAACCTGAACATCAAACAGGCCTTTCATCACTTTGTATTTTCTCTTTCTTAGATCAAGGCAGCTGAGTCTTCTCTTGCTTTTGTTCCTCTTACAATAGGAGATAAGTAGGAAAGGAAAGAAACCCAAAAGCCCTCTCCAAAGTGACAAGCAGAAAAATCCATGGTCTTTTCTGGGACACATAAAAGTAAAATATTGTTAAGTTCTCCAGATGAATGATTCGGACAGGAGGAGACATGGTAAATGTGAAACAGGTGTGTTTCCGTGTGTGCGTGAGTGTGTGCATGAGTGTGTGTGCATGTGCATGTGTGTGTGTGTGTGTGTTAGCTGAACAAGCTTCTCTGCCTGCCTTCTCTATTCCCCATCAAGATGTTTCCCAGAGCAGATGCCCACCTGCTGCTGCCCTACAAAGTCTTTCCTTTCCTCCTGGGCCTGTTACTGAGCAAAAAGCAGGAGAGCTGAGGACAAAGTTGTGATCACCCTCCTGTCCTCCTCCTCTAGGCCCCCATGAGTCTATCCTGCCCCTGAGTACAAGCAAGTCCTTGCCTTAGCAGGTGTCAGGTCGCTGCATAATCTGTTCATACTCAAAATGATAATTGGTCATTGCCCCAATAACCATTTCCCATTGATTACTGTCTGTCAGTCACGGAGCTACACACTCTATAAGCACAGTTTCCTCTGAGTCTCACAGTGACCCTATTATGTGTGTAAAATTATCATCTCCATTTTACAAATTAGCACAGCAACTCTTAGAACAGGCATATCTAAAGTCTGACTAACCCACTACTCAATAGTGGGCAGCGAGGGTCTCTAGATGAGCTGGGAACTGATCCCTCACTTATAGGACCTCTGTGTAATTCTGATGGAGAAATGGAACAAGTCCTCTAGACTTTCATTTTTACACCCAATTATAGGCTCTTACTAGCAATCCTGTAATTGTGTTATTAAGGGTAACTACAATTTGGTTTTCATAAACTAAGATTAGCTCATTGCTGGAGTTTTCCACGTACTCTAATTCAATATTGAGGGAGAGGCAGGAGGCTGGGTAAGGCTGTGTTGTTTCCCCAGTCTCTGAACACACACAGAGATGACAAACCCACAATTTCCCAATTCTTCATTACCAGGTGTCAGTGCATTTGTCTTGAATTGAAAAGCAATTTCTATGACTGTTTTCTTGCTCTTGAATGATAGCTTGCTCTTACTTCAGCTGGTCCCTATTATTTAATTTGTTGTGGGCTTTCCATATAACTCCATTTTGAATGGTGAGGCATTCTTAACAGGCAAAACTTAATATTTTGGCCTGTTATTTCTAAGAATTAAATTAAGGAAACATGTATCATACTAGGTAAGCACTAATCAAACTGTCTTTATTTAACCACTTTTTATCTTAGGTTAAACCATATGGATCTGACCATATTCAACTATTTTTGATTCATAAAAATGCCAGTTTTATAGGGCTCAGTCTAATAATGCCAATGTAAATTATTCATATCTTATTTGGGAGAAAATTATATGTACAATTTCCCTCCAAATGTGCTTGTACAATGACACTTAACTGGTGATAGTCTGCCTATGAATTTGTGCTATCACGGTAATTTGCCACATACCACTATTAAGTAACTGCAAGATAATTACAAAGTTATCTTAAGTTTGCATATGATTTTCTAGAATTCACAAATCTTGACTGTCAGTTCATGTGCTTTCTTTGTAAGTTAGCTACTAATGTTCTCTCATCCTTTCTCACATGATTCCTTCTTAACTGTCATACAGCAATAGGTGGAGCACCTAAGTAGATCTTAGTCAAAGAAACTTCAAAAGCACAATTTTAAGGCCTGAGAAGTGTTTCCATGTCCCACAGTTAATAAGGTTAGATTTGGGATTGTGAACCTGGCTGGGCTCACAGATGGAGGATGTGATGCATATGTTGGTAAATTGCATCAAATACACCTTTATGGCTTCTTGAACAAGAAACCTAAGCCTTTTTGACAACTTATTAGGGAATTTAGACACTAGCATTGATGACTCTTACTGTATATGAGCCACTTAGTTAGGTCAGACCTCATTTAATACCATCACAAGCCCTGAGTTTAGTACAGTCAGTCCACACAGATGGAAAGTTCAATTCACAGGCATGAACACTAGTATTTAAGACAAGTAGGTAGGTGATGAAAGCAGAAAACACATGTGACCATTTACCACACTAGCTTCCACTCCCTGCTTACCATGTTCAATTCATCATCCAATCCTGAGCATCCCTGATGCTCTACCGCTGTTGCTCTTGAAGACAGATGTGGCAGACTCTGGCCTCCTCCCTGCTTCTAGTATGCTGTACCACCACCTTTATCTGGTCACCAACCTCCTTCCAGCAGCACCATGCTATCTACAAATATGACCAGGCTCCATCCTATAGGCCCTTACATGCTTACAGGATAAACAAAGAAAGAAAAACAAACAAAAAACTTCAGCACAACTTTCCAACCTCCTTTTCTAGGAATTTTTTCCAACAATCACTACCCCAACCTCCACCCCACTACATCTTCCATGTCACATCCTATTCTCCCAAGTCCCGTGACCTAACAAGCCAACCCCCGGGCTGTTGTGTACTTGCCACTCAGACACTGTAAAAAACATTATACCCACCATTTCTCCATTTATCAATTTTTTTTCCTTAATGCCTGATTCAAATGTCACTGCTTATGGGAGTGTTCCTCCAGATTGCCCATAGCAGCTTATAATGCCTCCTTTTTATGGCCACAAGACTTTGTACCCATTTTTAATTGAACAGTGTCTGTCGAATGATAGCTGGTTGTTGAAATGTCTAATCTATCTTGCCCACTTAATAATGAGCCCCCTTGGGATTAAAGATCATGATGTGTTTGTCTTTGGATTGCCAGCGTTCAGAGGAGTGCCTGGCACAAGGTCAGTACTCAATAAACGTTCATTAAACAGACAAATACCCGCATAGCCTCTCATGCACAGAAAAATACACTGAGAAGCTCTTTGGTACGGCAGACTGAACATCTATGGGAAATAGGGATGTTGACTTGTGCTTCAAGTTTGCCCATCTGTGGGCTGTGTGACTCAGGAAAGCATGGACTTGTGTCTCAGATCTTATAAAGTTGAAGATATCAAAGTGCTCTTCTGGGGTTAATCGTGTCCCTTTTTTCTCACCAGAAAGAAAGGACTTCAGACATCTTTTAAAGAGAGCCATGGCATATAACCCAGAACCACTAGCAGAGACCCCCGCGGTCAAGTTCAAGGGACAGGACTTTAGGTCCTTACGGGACCATTGCCTAAGCTTGGGTCAACTGTTTGTAGATGAAACATTCCCTGCTGAGGCTTCTTCCATCGGCCAGAAGCTGCTCCAGGGGAAAAAACTTTCAAAGCTGGAGTGGAAGCGGCCACAGGTGAGTGAGCCACCTCTGGGAATACACCAAGCTCTGGAGCCCTGGGAGCTATGGGCCAGTGAAAAGAGGATGACCCCAAGAACAGAGTTTCAAAGATGTTGCAAACCAAACTGGAAAGAAAGTGAAATTCGTTTGGTTTCTCTGCTGCAATGTCCACTCTGTGGAAAAAGGCTCTGTGCCCAGAGCCTGAGCCTGGGCCGTTGGTTCTAACTCACTTCTAACAATGAGCTCACCACTAGATTAAAACACCTTAGTTCTGTCACTGAAAAAAAATGGAATGTCATGGATGTGGAGGCTATGGTAGTTGGTCTCCAGGGTCTCTCCACCTCCATAATTGAGCCCATCTATCAGTCTGCCACACTTTATTCTCTTCAGGTGTCAGTGTCTTTATGCTCTCTTCTTCTTCCCTATTAGAATTTACTCAAAGGGAATATATCATGTCTGTCATTTATACTCTAGGACGAATTTAAATAATTGCCTCGCCTCTCCCTTTTATAATCACATTCTCAGTCTTGTTAAGGTTTGGTCATCCATAAAAGAACTTCAGACATCCACTGTAAAATCAAGGTGGTAGTGCAGGATGGCATTCAGATCACAACGACTCCCCCACCTCCGCAGATGGCCACTAACTCTACCTTGCAGCAAGATGAGCCTGCTGGGTTTTGAGAACTCTCAAATGTATAGCATGCAGCTCTGTGGGAAATTTCTCAGTGGACTCAAACTTCCTGTTGTATCATCAGGACTCTTGTGGATGCAAAGGAGCTGGAGAGATGTTTGAGGATCCTGATGCTTCATTTTCATGCTCCCAAAGCTGCCAGCAGAGCCTAAATCAAGAAAATAATGCAAAGTCTAGTGAGTGGAGGATGGGGATGGGAACTGTTCCTTAGCATTGGTTACAAGCCAAGCACTACACTGGACACCTTGAGTCACCCCCTACCAGCTTGTACAGAAAGATGTTTTCTGGTGATGCCTAGGCAGAGACTGGGAGACCCCACTCTGGTTGTCTTGTCCGAGGCTAGGTAATTAAGTTCTGTACACAGGTGGGAAGGAGAACCCAAGACATCAAGCTTTGGAAGCAGCACTTCCTGCCTTAGCCAAGACAGATATGTATCTCCGGGAAAGGAAAGGACCGGTGGAAATCAGGTGGGGCTTAGAATGCTAGTTCCAGAAAGCTGGATGTATTAACAAATCTTGTAGCTCATACCCATTAGCAGTGGGTCACTAACCATGACTCTCCTGTCTTCACCTCTTAAGGAGGCAGAGCACTCCATTTAAAGAAATTCTGCAGGGCCATAGTTCCCACTTTGTTATTTTGGAAAAGATGAGATTCTTTTAAGAAGTATTTTTGTTTCCTCACAAGGTGCTGAGCATTAGATGTGAAACTTTATTTATAGTGTTGAGCAATTTATAACATTTCTATTTGGAAAGCGTTGAGAGTTTCTTATCTAATTCTAGCAGCATCTCAACTTGTGATGTCTTTGGGGAGCAAGGAGAAGGAGGCAAGTAGAAATGACTCACATAGAATCAGACCAAGAATCCGAAGTAGAGACAGCCAGGAGACATGTTCATTTTCTCATTGTGTTCTGCATCGAGAGACTTACCCAAATTCTGCTGAACTTTATCTTTTTCTTCCAGCATTTCTTTTCAAATATCATATTTTAAATGTGTTTTTTTCCAAAGTTGGCAGTACTTATGTTTACATAATACTTTCCAGAGCTTTCCTTACAGCCTTATTTACTTCATACCCTTTGTATTTTCTAATGTTACAAAAAGGAAAACAGGTTCAGACAGACAAAGTGGTGTAACCAAGGTGACATGGTTAGGGAGAGAGGGACCCAGGAGTTAGATGAAGACTCCTGACACCACATGCAGTACTTTTACCCTCACAGACTTCGTGTCTAATAAGTATTTGTTAGTATTTGGAGGGATAAATAAATGAATGAGGGGCTAGATAGATGGCTCAGCTGTTAAGAACACTGGCTGCTCTTGCAGAAGACCTGGGTTTGATTCCCAGCACCCACATGGCAGCTAACAACTGTCTGTAACTCCAATTCCAGGGGACCAGATGCCCTCTTCTGATCTCAGTGGGCATTGCATGACACAGGTGCACTTACATACATTTAGGCAATACACTCAAACACAGAAAATAAAAATAATAAATAAAATGCCCAATATTTTTTAAAAATAAAAATAAATTAATGAGTGGATGGGTGATTGATTGTCTACAAGCACCTGGTATGGGTTTCAAACTCATGTGTGAAGAAGGGAAACCTGGAATTGACCAATTTTCCACATATACTAGCAAAGAGAAAAGCTAGAGTGCTCACCTATTTACTACTGTGGTATCCCTGATTGTAGTAGCTTACAGTTGGGATTGTGAAAAGCCTTGGAAGAAGAACCGCAACCAGCCTGACCCAGGCTAGTAACAAGGCCAATACTCACACAGTGTTAACTGTTAACCAGATGGCAGATATGAATTTAGGCTCTTTAAATGCTTCTAAAAACTATCATGCAGGACTATTATTAATCTCATTCTGCAGATAAGAAGCAGAAACAGAGAGTAGGGTGATCTGTCCAAAGTCACATGACTAGACAATGGAAGAACTTGGAGTCCAGCTCCAAAACCTGAACCTTTGACCCTATAGTGCCTTATACCTTGTAAGGTGTCATCATGAGCTCTTGTTGGATTCTTGGCTCTTGGTTGCCACTGATACTCTATGCACCATTAGATTCCCCAACCTCTTATGGGTATCCAGGAACCAATCCTATCAAGTAGATCTCTCTGTCCTACTGAGACATGCATATGTAGATGTTCTTTTGTTATATTTCTTAGATGAAAAATAATGGGGATAAAAATAATACCTGTACCATATTGCATATGTTTATTTTAAGAAGGAAATGGATGTATACTTAGTGTCTAGCACGTTGTAAGTACTTAACCAAACACTGTTTTGTGATTAATTAGGGAGGGTTGTCACAGGGGAACAGTCTCGGGACTACCTCCCAATGTTCTGTGGCTTTCATGGTCCAAGAATTTCAGTTTCAGTCCTCAGCCAATTTCAGCAAATGTTTCCAGAGAGAAATATAGGTCAGAGAAAGCTATTAGGGTCTCAGTGGCTGCTGGGAGGAGGTATGTAAAGTGCATTTCTTCTCATATTCTGCATCACACATCTCTGCTTTTAGAAAGTTACCCCACACTTCCATCTATAACTTGCTTGTCCAGGGATCTGATTGAGTCACCTTAAACTTCAATTACATAGAACCTAGGAAGCTCCAAGGCTTCTAAGCCATCTCCACATTCTGGCTATTTCTAGACGATGGGAGAGGCACCATCCCCAGGAAACTGCTAAACTACCATAGCCCTCATTCTTCCTGGAGTATACATCCCAGCTCAGTAGATTCAACAATAATCTGAGGGTACCTGAGAAGCAGGCTCAGCTTTCTGGGACTAGTAGAGAAAGTTGCTTTGTGTCCCACAACTGTCCCTTTCTCTCGCCCCCTCTTTCCCTTTACCTACTGTATTAGTTACTTACCTTGTTGTTGGTCCAAAATACCTGATAGAAGCAATTTAAGGAAGAGTTTATTTTGGCTGACAGTTTGAAGCCGTAGTACATCGTGACTGGAACAACATGGCAACAGGGGCAGGAAGAAACGGGTCACATTGTGTCCACAGTCAAACAGAAGAAAGAGATGAATGTGGATGCTCAGCTCCCTGTCCTCTTTTTATTCAGTCCAGAACCCCAGCCCCTGTAATGGTGCCACCCCCATTTAGGGTAAGTCCCACTTCAGTTGATCTAACCTGGGAAATATCCACAGATTTTCCCAGAGGTTTGTTTCTATGATGATTCTAAATCCCATCAAGTTGTCAATCAAGATTAACTATCACACCTACCTTTCTTTCTCCCTTTCTCCTTCCCTCTAACAATTACCCTAGAACATTTTTCTGATAAAGTTTTGTTGAAGTAGAACCTCTCTCACATCCCGATTAACTTCATTTCTCTTTAAGGAGTTTCCAAACCTGCTTCTCACCTCAACTCAGGCTCTGCAACAGCCTGTGACCTTGTAGTGAGGCAATTCAAGGATTCACTGGTCTCAATGTTTTGAAACATCTGCTCTCAGTAGGAGATAAGTGCCAAGAATTATATGTGGGGTATCTGTGTAATGCTTCCTCTAAATTAAATTTGGTGCTTAGAGTGGCCCCCTTTTAGGAGACTTTTTTATTCTGTGGATAATAATGAATCCCATTTACTGAATATATACATAGCTTAGGTATTTTACTAAGTGCTTGATGCAATTTTTCATTTAATTAACCTGGCAGTCCAGTAAGGTCAATGATATTATTCTCACTAAATAGATCAGTACTGTGCTGTAGCCTTGCAATGATGGAGGTGTTCATTCTGTTCTACTCCCTGCTGAAACCACTAGTCAAATGTGGCTGTTGAGCACTTGAAATGTGGCTGCTGCAACTGGGGTGAGGGTTGAAGTTTTAATTTAAATTAATTTAACTGTAAATGGACACATATAACTATGGCTACCATAGTGAACAGTTCAAAATTGTAGATGATCGATCTTCACATTTTACCAATGTTGACAGATCAAGGGATTGAAATTTCATCTTTGACCACATTCAATGAAAAAAACATCCAGTTCTCTAACAAAGGATGGGCTATGTGCCCCAAGTACATTGTCCAGTGGTGGTTGGAGCTCAACCATAGACCCAAGTCTGTGGTCACTGCAGAACAAGGCACCTGCCCAGGAAACAATATCTTCATTTAGTCAGAGAAGTTTCTCATGGGATCATTCACTAGAAATGACTCACCAATATGTGCCCTGCAAAAAAGGTTATGAAGATATCCTATTAGGCAACAGGTAACAGAAGGTACCAGAAGTAACTGTGCCAACGGCTGATTGACATTGAACCAAAAAACTTTGATGCCAATACATCAACCCCCCCAGCCCCCTGGCCAAATAGAAATAGAATGACCCTACTACCCATCTAA